TCTATCAGTGAGGACACAACATAACCTGTAAGAAGCAGGCCCTTGTGGTCTAGTTTAACATGCAGCATGTCTCCCTTCCTTAGAATGCACGGTGCTCTGACTCCAGGAATTATGGTGGCATGAAAGCTATCAAGTAAACTCCTCTCTAGAAAAGCTGTTGAAATCCTAGTTGTGATCAGCGACTTTCTGAGGCAGTAGCTCCCTTTTGTGTTTATTTCAGCCCTGGCAGTGGGCAGAATAAACATGACGTTTCCCGTGAGTCAGAGGATCAGGAGTCTTGAATTTCGGGCATCTCTGGCTCTCCTTCAGCTATCATGGGTTCCTCAGATGGCAGCAGCTGCAAGAGAGCCCCCTGGCAGGTGCCAGTCCTGCTCTTGCTGACCACCAGCCATGTCCTTGTGCTCTCTGTGGTCAGCATATCTAAGGGTGGTTGGTGTTCACTTCAAAGAGTCCAACCACCACTGCTTTCCTGTACAATCAAGGGACACAGATGCTCTAGGATAGAATAGGCTGGGCCAAGTTTCAACAATTCCCATCAGTTCTGAAATTAGAATATCAACTCTGATGAGCAGGCAGTTAACTCTCAGTCACTATCCTGACAAATTGGGAAGGTATTGTCTTCTGCTGAAACTTGCTCCTTTGCCTGGACCTCCACTATAAGTCTCCCAGAAAACACATCCATTCATACATTGAAGAGCACAGAAAACAAAAATGATCTATTTAGGGGCATGTGGGCCAAGTAGAACCACACGATGGTAATGTTTTATTTTGGGTGAGGCCCAGACTACTTGGGCTTGTTAGTTTCTATTCTTATAATTCAGGTTTATTGAGATATAATTTACATTCAATCTAAAAAAACGTGAGATTAGATGAGTTTTTGCCAATGTATGACGTGAACGAACACCACTACAATCAAGACAGATAACTGCTTCTCAGCCCCCAGAAAAGTCCCAAGAGCCACTTGGGAGTTCACTTCCTGTACTCCCGTCCCCCCAAACCACAGGACAGTATTTTGTCCCTATGGCTTGTTTATTCTAAAATGCCATATACCTGGCATTATATAAATGGAAATACACCATTCTAAAACCAAACTCACAGCCAACGAGTGGATTTAAGCCAAAGCGGCCCTACAAAACACAGTAAAACTGACTGGGTTTTCAAAGGTGGAATGTTTATGGGCGCAGAAAACCTCATCGTTCTCCCAAGCGGGGAGGTGGTTTCCAGCTGCTGACTCGCAGTTCACAGGCCAACCGTAATCCACTTCGCCATCAGGGCTTGCAGTCTTCACACCTGGCTTCGTTTTCCTTTTCCGGTTAGCCTAGGCTTTGGGATTCATCCATGTCTTTGCAGGCACACATGAATAGGTTGTTGTTGTTCTTTATTGTTGCCGAGTGAATATGTCATAATCTATTTGCCTATTTAGATGTCGATGAGTCTTTGGGGGTTCTCTAGTTTGCATATGACAAGCAAATCTTCTGTGAATGTCCATGTACGGACCTCGATGCGGGTCTACATACTCATTCCAACCTTGGGTGTCGCTACGTCCTCTGAAGGGGTTTAAAGTGGAATGTAAAGATGATCATATTTGGGGCCTTTTTGAAATCTCTCGCATTGCAAGTGAAAGTCTGATTTTATGAGACATGACCGAGCTGATAGCCAATGTGCTGTCTCACTTACATTCCCTCCAGGATGCTTGAGAATTCCAGTTGCTCTACATCTTTGTCGGCACTTGGAATTGTCAGCCCTTTTAATGGTGGTCATCCTAGAAGATCAGCACTTGTCGATCAGGACCAGTGGTGTGAGTGGCGAAACAGGGAGAGTAAAGGGAGA